AAAGGTATAGAAAGAAAATGCCACCATTCTATCAATTTATCCCTATCACCACGATATCTGTATTTTTTATGTTGGTAATTGACCATCTTACACACCGATCGGACAGATCATATTTTCCTTGACAGTGTGCACTTAATCCCCATTTAAAGGCTACATTATCTTCTTGTTTTGTTTCAGCTTGTGCTTTGTGTGTGTGTGTGTGTGTGTGTGCGTGCGTTCGGTAAACATCACTACAGCGTGTTGTACGAACTCAATAGCATCATCCTCCTCCATAACTGAACAACGTTTTGTGTTACTCATCCGCTGACCGTAGCCTAGATGCAGTCAAAGATACTTTCTAACCAAAACAACCTCTTGCGTAAAGCTAACGGTACTGATGTCGTGATTTTATCAGAGGATATGAATGCTGCGAGCGAAGTGTGTCTGGAAGGTAATTTCGGACTAGATTCCTGTTGCTCGCAAAACGGAACAACTGTTGGCTCTGTGTTCTGACAACCGCCTGTTCCTCGCCAGTACGAACTTCAGATGATCCAACTGATGGCACGCCGCCTGGTATTCACCATCCTTGAATCAGAGACTAGTGCACAGTGACCACATCGTCATAAGTCGCAAATGACGGGTTGCACACAAGGTTGTCTGTTGAGAATACGCATCCCATAAAAGAGAAAAACTTCAAAATTTGCATGGTGAAGTAAACATGAAAAATGTTTTTCCTGTTATGCATAGTCTGTTTTTCCAGCTTTTCATTTCACTCATCTGTACCCGAAATCACCATATGTATAATCATTGTTACGTTGATACCTTGATTTTATTGAAACCGGTGTGCAATATAAATATGTCTATATTCGATGACATCGCATATGACGGTTGATTTCTTCAAACAGTTGCACTCTTGTATCTGATTCTTTTGTCTCCGGTGCATCGTTTGTCTTCTAAGTTCTCTTCCTGTGTATTCTAACAGTATACTAGCTTTTTCTTTGCTCCTTTCATCCATTCTTTGTTTAATCAAGTCGGCTATCAAAAAGAGGCAACTAAAACCAGAGTAGAGAAGTTCAAGTTCCCGGCCCCACAAGATATATTATTACTATGTTGCAGTTCATACTTTTTTGGGTCCGGAACGCATGCCAAGCGAATCATGGCAAAAGAATATTTATAACAAAGAGGACCACCTTTGATTTTTTGAGGTCTTAGGTCTACTACATTGGTGAACTAAAGTCACATGATTTTCTCAGGGATTCACAACTGAAGCCTTTGGACAGCCAAAACCCAACTCACAACGCTGTCGATTGATGTGTGAATACCACAGTCTGTTGGGAGACCTATGTTCAGCCAGTCAGGTATAATTATCTTGGCAGAGTGCTTCGTTACGTGATTCGTCTATCCCACAGTTGTTTTTGAATTTGAATTTATCTAATTTTTATACCGCTTGTCTCGGTACGTCACTTCACAAGGTTGTGGGTAGAGTTAGAAGTCTTTCATCTACTGCGAATTCTGAACCTCACCCCGCGGAAGATCAGGGAAAGATTATATACCCCACACCTAATGTACCCGATGATGACTACTAACATATTGTGGAATCTCTGCTTGTGGGGCTTGCAATTAGTTTTCCTGCTGCACCAGGCTCAGGAA